ACCAGAAACTACCACCAGAAACTCCAACTCTAGAGGCAACATAATGGCAATATGGTCATATCTTTCAGTACCCACCCTAAATGTCAATGGACTAAATGCTCCAATCAAAAGACAGACGGTAACAGAATAGATACAAAAACAAGATCCATCTATATGCTGTTTACAAGAAACTCATTTTAGACCTAAAAACACCTTCAGATTGAAATTAAGGGGATGAAGAACCATCTATTATGCTAATGGTTACCAAAAGAAAGCCAGAGTAGCCATACTCATATCAGACAACCTAGATTTTAAAATAAAGACTGTAAAAAGACATGAAGATGGGTATTATATCATAATTACAGGGTATATCCACCAAGAAGATCTAACAACTGTAAATATTTATGCTCCAAATGTGGCGGCCCCCAAATATAGAAATCAATTAATCACAAACAGAAACTCATTGATAATAATACCATAATATTAGGGGAGTTCCACACCCTACTTACAGCAATGGACAGATAATCTACACAGAAAATGAACAAGGAAACAACGGCTTTGAATGACATACTGGACCAGATGGACTTAACAGTTATATTTACATTTCATCCCAAAGGAATGAAATACACATTCTTCTTGAGTGCACATGGAACATTCTCCATAGTAGATCACATATGGGACACAAATCAGCCCTCACAAGTACAAAAAGATTGAGATCATACTGTGCATATTTTCAGGCCACAATGCTATGAAACTCAAAATCAACCAAAAGAAAAAATTTGGAAAGATAACTAATACTTGGACACTAAAGAACATTCTACTAAAGAATGAATTTCCTTTTTAAGAGGAAATTAAAAAGTAATGGAAGTCAATGAAAATGATAACACCAGAGCCCAAAACCTCTGGGGTGCAGCAAAGGCAGTCTAAGAGGGAAGTATATAGCAATCCAGGCCTTCCTAAAGAAGAAAGAAAGGTCTCAGATATACAACAGAAACTTACAACTTAAAGAGCTGGAAAAGAACAGCAAATAAAACCCAAAACCAGCAGAAGACAGGAAATAATAAAGATTAGGGCAGAAATCAATGCCATTAAAACCCAAAAAACAGGGGCTCCTGGTTGGCTCAATCAGTTAAGTGACCAACTTGGCTCAGGTCATGATCTCACAGTTCGTGGGTTCAAGTCCTACATCAAGCTCTGGACTGACAACTCAGAGCCTGGAGTCTGTTTCAGATTCTGTGTCTGCCTCTAGCCTGCTCACACCCTGTCTCTGTCTCACTCTCAAAAATAAATAAAGATTAAAAAAAAAAAAATTAAAAAAAGAAAAAGAAACCAAAAAACAGCAGAACAGATCAACAAAACCAGGATTTGGTTCTTTGAAAGAATTAACAAAATTGATAAACCCCTATTCAGTGTGATCGAAAAGGAAAAGGATAAAGTGCCTGGGTGGCTTAGTCACTAAGCATCTGACTTCAGCTCAGGTCATGATTTTGTGGTCCATGAGTTTAAGCCCCATGTCAGGCTCTGTGCTGACAGCTCGGACTCTGTGTCTCCCTTTCTCTCTGCCCCTCCTCTGTTTGCAATCTGTTTTTCTCACTCTCAAAACTAAAAAACATTTAAAAAAAATATTTTTAAGAAAAAGGAAAGGACCCACGTAAATAAAACCAAGAATGCAAGAGGAAATATCGCAACCAACACTGCAGAAACACAAACTATAAGTACAAAATTTTATGAGCAATTATACACCAAAAAACTGAGCAATCTGGAAGAAATGGACAAATTCCTAGAAACATGTAAACTAACAAAACTGAAACAGGAAGAAACAGAAAATTTGAAAAGACCCATAACCAGTCAAGAAATTGAATTAGTAATCAAAAATCTCCCAAAAAAACAAGAGGCCAGGGCAGGATGGCTTTCCAGGAGATTCTACCAAACATTTAAAGAAAAGTTAACACCTGTTCTTTTGAAGCTGTTCAAAAAAATTGAAATGGAAGGAAAACTTCGAAACTCACTCTATGAAGCCAGCATTACCTTGATTCTAAAACCAAAGACCCCACTAAGGGAACTACAGACCAATTTCCCTGATGAATATGGATGCAAGATTTCTCAAAAAGATACTAACCAACCGGATCCAACAATATATTAAAAGAATTATTCACCACGACCAAGTGGGATTAAACCTGGGATGCAGGGCTGGCTCAAAATCCACAAAACAATTAATGTGATAAATCACATCAATGAAAGAAGGACAAGAACCACATGATCCTCTCAATACGTGCAGAGAAAGCATTAGACACAATACAGCATCCTTTGCTGATAAAAACCCTCAACAAAGTAGGGATAGAAGGATCATACCTCAAGATCATATATAAAAGACACACTGCTAATATCATTCTCAATGAGAGCTTTCCCCCTAAGGTCAGGAACACAACAGGGATGTCCACATCTGCCACTGTTATTCAACATAATATTGGAAATCCTAGCCTCAGCAATCAGACAACAAAAAGGAATAAAAGGCATCCAAATCGGCAAGGATGAAGTCAAGCTTTCAATGTTTGCAGATGACATGATACTCTATATGGAAAACCCAAAAGATTCCACCAAAAAACTGCCAGAACTGATCTATGAATTCAGCAAAGTCACAAGATATAAAATCAATGCACAGAAATCAGCTGCAGTCCTATACGCCAATAACGAAGCAAGAGAATGAGAAATCAAGGAATCAATCCCATTTACAATTGTACAAAAAGCCATAAAATACTTGGGATTAAACCTAACCAAAGAGGTGAAAAATCTATACTCTGAAAACTAGAAAGCTTATGAAAGAAATTGAAAACACACACACACATACACAAAAGGAAAAATACCCCATGCTCACAAATTGGATGAACAAATATTGTTAAAATGTCAATACTATGCAATCTATATATTCGATGCGATCCCTATCAAAATAACACCAGCATTCTTCATAGAGCTAGAACAAACAATCCTAAAATTTGTATGGAAGCAGAGAAGACTCTGAATAGCCAAAGCAATCCTGAAAAAGAAAACCGAAGCTGGAGGCATCACAATCCCAGACTTCAAGATGTATTAAAAAGCTATCATTTATCAAGACAGTATGGTACTGGCACAGAGACAGACACTCCTATCAGTGGAACAGAATAGAGAACCCAGAAATGGACCCATAAATGTATGGCCCACAAATCTTTGACAAAGCAGGAAAGACTATTCAATGGAATAAAGACAGTCTCTTCAGCAAATGGTGCTGGGAAAACTGGACAGCGACACGCAGAAAAATGAACCTGAACCACTTTCTTACACCATACACAAAAATAAACTCAAAATGGATGAAAGACCTAAACATAAGACAGGACACCATCAAAATCCTAGAGGAAAAAGCAGGCAAAACCTCTTTGACCTCGACTGCAGCAACTTCTTACGTCTCTGGAGGCAAGGGAAACAAAAGCAAAAATGAACTATTGGGATCTCATCAAAATAAAAGCTTCTGAACAGGAAAGGAAACTATCAGCAAAACTAAAAGGCAACCAAATGGTATGAGAGAAGATATTTGCTAATGACATATCAGATAAAGGGTTATTATCCAAAATCTATAAAGAACTTACCAAATTCAACACCCAAAAAACAAATAACCCAGTGAAGAAATGGGCAAATGATATGAATAAAAACTTCTCCAAAGATATCCAGATGGCTCACAGACACACAAAAAAATGCTCAACATCACTCATCATCAGGAAAATACAAATTAAAACCACAATGAGATACCACCTCGCACCTGTCAGAATAGCTTAAATTAACAACTCAGGCAACAACAGATGTTGGTAATGATGCAGAGAAAGAGGATTTCTTTTGCACTGCTGGTGGGAATGCAAACTGGTACAGCCACTCTGGAAAACAGTATGGAGGTTCCTCAAAAAATTAAAAATAGAACTACTCTACGACCCAGCAATTGAACTACCAGGTACTTATCCAAGGGATACAGATGTGCTGTTTTGAACACAACCCAATGTCTATAGTGGGGCTACCAATAATAGCCAAATTATGGAAAGAGCTCAAATCTCCATTGACAGATGAGTGGATAAAGAAGATATGATATAGATATATATATATAAAACAGAATTACTCTACAATCAAAAAGAATGAAATTGTGCCATTTGCAACTACGTGGATGGAACTAAAGGGTATTATACTAAGTGAAATCAGTCAGAGAAAGTCAAATATGACTTTGTTCATATGAGGAATTTTAGATACAAAACAGATGAACATACGGGAAGGGAAGCAAAAATAATATAAAAACAAGGAAGGGGACAAAACATAAGAGACTTAAATACAGAGAAAAAAATTGAGGGTTGCTGGAGGGGTCAGGCGTGTGGAGGATGGGCTAAATCCATAAAGGGCATTAAGGAAGACACGTTGAAATGAGCACTGAGTGTTATACGTTGGGGATGAATCACTGGAATCTTCTCCTTAAATCATTATTCTACTATATGCTAACTAACTTGGAAGTAAATGTAAAAATAAATTACAAATTAATTCATTAATCAAATCAAATTAAATCATATTTAATTTAGTTTAATTTTTAAAATTACTGGGGTGAAATTCAAGGGTCCAAATTGTTTTTTCAACTTTATATAGGTGTAATTGACAAGTAAAATTTGTAAGATTTTAAAGTGTATAAAGTTACATTTGATATATGTATACACTTGTGAAAGGAAGAATTCGAATTTTTAAGGAGCATTCCAAGCATCTAAGCTGTCAATACATGTCTACTAGCATGGCAGGACAGGGCTGGACAAAACAGGGGCCACCAGAATCCCCAGAAACTGTCACATGATGCCTGAAGCACCTGCCTTCATTCACCCTAGGTGTGTAATACAAAGAATATCATCTACATATGTCATGAAGTAGAAAAGAGTTGCAGAGTTCCTAATATTTCTAGACAACTATTAAATTAGTATTTGTAGGGGAGGTTCACAATGATCACTTTCAAAAAACTTTCACAGGTCAGCTTTGCGCAGTGGCAGTATCGTAGCCAATGAGGTTTATCCGAGGCGCGATTATTGCTAATTGAAAAAACTTTCACAGGTCAATCTGATATACTTAAGAACCACTGCTTTTAAATAACAATTTTCAAAAATATAAAATATAAAATAGCAACTCTCAACTTTTTAAGAACAAAAGTGCCTTTTTATAACACATATTTTATAGTGCCTCTTTTATTATCTTGAAGTGAAATTCAAATAATATAACCTGTCTAAATATAAAATTCAAAATAATCAATATAATAATTTGTGGAATGTGATACATTCAGCAATTTACTAAATGCAATACAAAAAATTGATTTTCAACATGCAAATGTTTAGGTTAGTCAGATGCTTGCCTGCACCTAAACACAGAATCACCCTGAAAGCAAAGCTTGAGTATAGACTAACGGGTATATTGAACTGATGACTGAATAGCAGTCTTGTGGGACATGATATTTTGAAGTGGTGAACAATTTTTAGTAAATTTCCAAACTAAATGAAGTAAAATCTTCCCTTGGTTCACATGGTAGTTATGGTCCAAAAAAATTCAGGGATATTTAAAACAATGCAAAAAGCATTTTGTCCAGATATCCTAAGTCCAGATCACTAGAAACCTGTTTTTCTGCCTACATGAATGTAAGTGGGACACTCAAAGTCATGTAGCATGTGGAACAATTCTTTCTTGTGCAGTACTATCTCATGAATCACAAGATGCCTACTACCATCTCTGGTCCTACCCATTAAAGGTCTGTAGCCAACCCTCACCCCCAATTACTGTGACAATTAAAAACATCACAAATTCCCAAACCCACTGCTTTAAAATATAACCATTCAAACTCCTCAAGCAATAAGAATAGTGGCAGTTTTATCAAGCTCCAATATTATTTTCCTTTGTGCTACCATCTTACATTATAGTAATTCCAGAATCTCTACCTGATTCCACCTATACAATAATGTTTTCCAAAGCAAATATTTGCATAAATATGAGCAAAACAAAATTGCTAATGCAATTCCATGCGAATGGACAATTATCACAAATATGAGAAAACTTCATGAATTCATGAATAAAAATTAAAGCATAATATTTTTCTTTAACAATCAAATCACATTTTCCTATTGACATTATATTTTAGTTTGAGAGATGCTCTCTCATTTATCTGACTGGTCCTCAAATTGGCAATGGTTCCTAAGCCCTTCAGATTTGAACACCTGTAAAATAAATCCACTGCTGTAGTTCAAATATATTAATAAATCCTTTTAGTATTAAAATGGTTTATATGTAGCTCAAGTAATTACCTTTTTAAATATAGTAATTTTTTTAAGTTTTTATTTAAATTCCAGTTATCATACAATGTAATATTGGTTTCAGGTATATAATACAGTGATTTAACACTTCCATACAACACCCGGTGCTCATCACAAGTGCACTCCTCAATCCCCATCACCTATTTCACCCACCTACCCTGACCTCCCCTCTGGTAATCAGTTTGTTCTCAAGAGTCTGTCTCTTGGTTTGCCTCTCTCTCTCTTTTCTTTACCTTTGCTCACTTGTTTTGTTTCTTAAATTCCACATATGAGTGACAACATACGGTTTTGTCTTTCTCCAACTGATTTATTTCACTTACCATAATACTCTCCAGCTCCATTTATGACATTGCAAATAGCAAAATTTCTATCTTTTTTAAGGCTGAGTAATATTCCATTACACACACACACTTACACACACACACACCATCTTCTTTATCCATTTATCACTCAAGGGACATTTGGTCTATTTCATAACTTGACTATCACAGATAATGCTGCTATAAACATAGGGATGCATGTATCCCTTTGAATTAGTATTTTTAACAAAGTAGTTCTTAAGCCTGTGTAGGTATCATAATCTTCACCAAAAGAGCTACTTAAAAATTTACATATGCCTGAGTACCTTGCCCACATATTCTGACTGCACATGCCTGGAGAAGGTGGGACCCATGAGTCTTTATTCTTTTTAAAAGATCTACAGGTGATTCTCATGCTGGCAGGGGCAGATCTAGTTTTATGCCTCCTGAAACTTACACATTTTGGGGTGCTCTCTCTCTTTAAGAGAAAGAAGAAAAACTGCTATGTCTCTTAAGGCCTTGGAAAAGTCCTGTGCATAAACTTTGTATGACATACTGAATCATTATTGCAAAACATGGCTGAAAATGTAGAGTCTTAACACTAGTACCATTTTGAAGCAAAGACCATAAGCCTAAAATGCCTACAAGCTTCAGGAGGAAACAAATGTAAAGCAGGCAAAGCAGGAGACAACACAGGAAGGGTGGTGACTGGCAAACCTGAACTCCTAAGGCGCCAGCTGCTATTTAGCATCAGTGCCCACTCAGTGTTGCAGTCTCAGATTGTTAACAGAAGGCTGAAATCTGGGTTTTTATATGAAATCTCCCAATTTTTAAAAGTTAGCTCAATTTTTAAATAAAACATTGGGTAAGCCAAATAAAACATGAGTGAAAGATGCCAGTATGTAACCTCTGCTTCATAAAATAAAAGGGAAAAAATATATTCTACCTAAAAAAACAAAAGGAAACTTAAAATTAGATGGTTGATTTAAGGAAGATGAAGGGGAGGGTAGCCTGGCTGGCTCAGTCGGTTAAGCGTCTGACTTCGGCTCAGGTCACGATCTCACGGTTCGTGGGTTCGAGCCCCACATCAGGCTCTGTGCAGACAGCTAGCTCAGAGCCTGGAGCCTGTCTTCGGATTCTCTCTCCCTCTCTCTCTGACCCTCCCCTGCTCACACACTCTCTCTCTCTCAAAAATAAATAAATATATTAAGGAAGATGAAGGGGAATACTGCTAAAGGCATAACTTGTAAAGCAATCTGTTCACCTGACAATAAAAAATTTTCTTCAAGGATCCATCTCAAGGACCTAAATTTACTCTAAAACATCCTAACAGCTCTCAAAGAGTTCTGTAAGTCAAGAAAAGACTACCTCTCTAATATAAAAAACACAAAGGGAAAATTCTTAAAAATGAATTCTTAATGGCTATTAAATTAAAATGTTTGACATCAATTACATTTGGTGCCTTAAGTTTACTGTGATAAAAGCTCTTTTCTATATCACTATGTTGTACAACTGAGACTAATGCAAAATTATGTGTCAACTATACTTCAATTAAAAAAAAAAAAAAGATCTCTTCTCCAATTGAGATGTACTGTTCTGAAGTTGATTGTATCCACTCTCAAAAAAAAAATCAAATTCTGCTCCTCAGCTTTTCAATAGCTGCTTTAAAAAAAAATACAATGAATATTGGTTCAAAAAAAAATGGATCTCCTATGCAAAATTAAAATACTGTACAGAGAAGACAGTAGGAATAAACTTTTCAACATGCCCTCCAGATTGATTTCCACAACATTCCTTAGCTAAACACCAGGCAATTCTGATGAGGTAGCTGAGGATACCAGTATACAGTTCAGTGCGCACATATGTGGACCAAGTTGGGATAAAATGTAAGAAGCACTGAATTATCATATGCCATATACCAAAACTCTAGTGAAAGAGAAAGTTTATTGTCAACTTCTGGCCCACTTTGCCAAGCCAAAACAGACTATTAAAAACTACTATCAAGCACAGTCTGTGGGATAACTAAAATAACAGGACATCTGGACTAAAGAAGGACCAAGGAATGGTAGGCTAGTCTAATATATACTTGTGTATACTGTAAAATCATTTCTCTGCTTTCCATCATGGGTAGGAAGGAAGCTGGGAAGTGGAAAGGAACAAGCAAACTAAATAAAATGTGCTAACAATAGTGGATTTACTAAAGGACTAAGCATAAAATTACAACCAACTTGTATCTGTGATGAAGGCATCAGAGATGTGTTGAAGACAAGAACAATAATACAACTGAAGACCCTAGAATTAGATTTGTCATTAGTGACTTTGTATAATTGCAGTTTTCTACATCAACCTACATTTTTCCTAAAGTAATGTCTCCTATATGCTTATCTGGAGAAATGATTTAATTTCCCTCATTTTTCAAGAGACAATAAATATATTTCTAAGAAGGGTATGAGGCAGACATGAGTTGGAATCCCAGCCCTGTGGCTTATAGCATGTACAACCTGTGTTATACAGCTTTTCTGGATCCTGTGGCCAGATGTAAAGATTAGGATAGTAACATGAATAAGGTTAGGCTGCAATACTACTTTGTTTGCATCTTGCTCATCAGGAATTCTATGTATATGGGGCAGTGTCAACGCAAATAAATAAGATGTTCTACATTTACCTAGTACATACTGTCACTAAGAGTTATTCAGCTTCTTTCTCACACCATAAGCAAAAAAAGAAAAATAACCTCAAAATGGATCACAGACCTAAATCTAAGAGTCAGAATTATAAACTTAGAAAACAATATTAGCAGCAAATCTTCTTGACCTTGGATTAGGTACAAGCTTCTTAGATACCAAAAGCACAGGCAACAAAAGAACAGATAAACTAGACTCGATCAATATTTTAAAATTTTGTGTTGCAAATGATACTATCAAGAAAGTGAAGACAACTCACACAATAGGAAGAAATATTTGCAAATAATATTTCTGCTAAGGGACCTGTATACAGAATATAAAAAGAACTCTTAAAACCCAATCATAAAAAGATAAACCAATTAAAAACTAAGCAAAGGATCTAAATAGACATTCCCCCAAAGGAGATATAATTAAGCCAGTAAGCACATGAAAAGATGATTGACATCTTTAGTCACTGAGGAAATGCAAAACAAAACCACAATGGGATTCTACTTCACATCCACTAGCATAGTTATAATAAAAAGGTAATAATATATGAACAGACACTTCTCCAAAGAGGACATCCAGATGGCCAACAGACACATGAAATGATGCTCAGCTTCCCTCCTCATCAGGGAAATACAAATCAAAACCACACTGAGATACCACCTCACTCCAGTCAGAGTGGCTAAAATGAGCAAATCAGAGAACTCTAGATGCTGGCGAGGATGTGGAGAAACGGGCACCCTCCTACACTGTTGGTGGGAATGTAAACTGGTACAGCCCCTCTGGAAAACAGTGTGGAGGTTCCTCAGGAAACTAACAACAGAACTCTCCTATGACCCAGCAATAGCACT